GACTGCAGATGAACAGCAGTCGATCTGCGCACGCAAGGAGGTGCTATTCCTATTCTTCTTGTGGAAAAATGAAAGAGAGCTTCAAAACGGACTGCAGCGCCATCTGAAGCAAAGAGTGAACTTCCGGCGGACACTTTTTTGGCTGAGTGGCCCATCTTGTTATGTACTATCTTTGATAGTAAGCTGAAGGTACAATGGACTGGTAGTTTCCCTTGATAATGGTTATAACAAGACTCACGAATAACAAGGAAAAACTGCAGGTCCCGTCTGTCCTGTTATGTCCAAGTTTGACTGTAATAAAGACCAGGGTAATACAACAGCAACAACAACTACAGTATCGACAACAGCAACAACAACAATATTTCAAATTGCCAGCAGATAGATTAATTATTCCAGTCGATTGTCTGTGCTGACCCCTGTGACATTCTCGATGTCCATAAATTGAGGTTTATGCAACAGCTATGTCAACAACAACAACAACAATATTTTAAATTGCCTTGCCAGCAGATAGATTAATTATTCCAGTCGATTGATACGTGATGCAGATTAATTATTCCAGTCGATTGATACGTGATGCCTGACTTATGGTATCTTTTGTAAAAGTATCATCTTTCTCACTTAATTAGAAATTTTATTATATAGAAATGTGTGTCGACCTCTGTGACATTTTTTATGTCTATAATTTGAGGGGAAATTACCAGGTTTTATCTCTCTCTTGGGATTTCTGTGGAGTCTTTGTGTGTGTCTGTGCAAGATGTAGAAGCCTTTTGTTGGCTCATTGGGATGGATATATAAAGCGAGGCTTAACATTTCTTCTCTTAGGAAGATAGTTCAGCAATAGACGATTATAGTGGTTTCGTTAGAGTAAAAAAGAATTTATGAGACATTGTTCCATTCCGTCTGTGGGGTATATTGTGCAAATTAATGTATAAAGATTATACCTGGTAGTTATAAATATACCAGTGCGTTTATAGGTCAAATTATTGTGTTACTGTAGGTCTCTTCCATTTTGGATTTGTTTATTTTTGTTGATGTGTTATTGAACAGCTGTGTATGTGGTCATGCCAATCTGTAACCATGCTATTGACCGGTGTGTGTATGTGTATGTTTGTATGTTTGTTTTTGTTGATGAATATTGTGAGAAATTTGTGAGCTTTTCTGATTGTAAGAAATGTTTGCTTTTATTCATGTTAAGAAAACTTCTCTGTTAATGATTGTAGTGAAAAAACTTTGTACCGGATCATGTTTTGATGGTGGGTGGTTGGTGGGTGCTCTGGTGTGGTTTACTTTTTCTTTCCTATCAAACATCTATCATCCTTATCTCTCTTTCTTTTTTGTGTATGTTACTCTCTTGTAACACCTCTATTCTCCAGCACTTCTATGACCTTATTGTGTTGCAAGTGCTGTAAAATTCTTACTAAAACTAAACATGTTTTAATGGTTGTCATGAACAGAATTTAGCTGATAATTGAATTAATTGGTAACCCTTGTGAGAATTTTGTTCAAATAGTTGATGCCTGTAAGAGTTGTGTTCCTATTCAGCCACCGTGCCACATTATAGATGACTGTGTCATTGCACATTTGTGAGTCGTGCTGACAAAATTGGTGAGTTCTCGGATTTTAGCCTCATGGACACATATATACGTAAATGCATATGTTTGTTTTGTACAATTCATTATATGAAATAATAAAATATGTTATTTAACTTAAAGAATATATATGGCATCAGTCTCCAATCTTCAAATTTGATGTGTCCCTGTTTTTTCCGACATCTCCATATTTTGTGGATTGCGAGAAGTAACTCATTTTGTCGGCACGCCTCACATTTGGTTGTTTTTTTAAAAAAATCCTTTGAGTTTGAGTATGCAGCAGAAGATGTAAGTTCGATTCCCATGTGGGGAGAATTTTTATCGAGTATCCCCGTCTGTCTGCTGGGACTTTGCACCCCTCTCAGTCTGGGTTTGCTGTCCTGAAAGGCAGGGTCGTTGTTGTTAGCGATCCAGTAGCATCTGAGCGTTAACTCTTCTGCATGATGCCATTCGGGAAAGGGCAGGATCTAGCAGCCTGCT